TTTCAGTTGATGAAAATGTACTTTCATATGACAAAAATTTGACATTCTGTCTTAATATTCCACCCCTTCCACTGAGATACATTTATGCTGTATGGGATCATTAATGTGTCACAAATATGTAAATAAAAGATGATAAATCTTGAGAGAGAAAAATTTAAAAAAGACATCATTCTGAAGACTAAGGTGTGCCTGATTCAAGCAAGCCACAGCATTTTCAGTCAGGTCTGTTGTTCATGGGATCAACTTGAGGGCACTTAACAGTAACAATGTATTAAACAATGAGTAAGAAAAACCAGGGAAAAATGGGGGGGAAATGATGCTCTTTAAACTGCAGTGCTGGCAAAGATTTCTGAATATACCATGGACAATGGAAGAAGGAATCAAATCTGTTTTGGAAAGATGCATAGCCAGATGCTCTTTAACAGACAGAATGACAAGACTTCATTTCACATATTTTAGACATGCTGTAAGGAGGAGTCAGTTCCTAGAGAAAGGCATTATGCTTGGTAAAGCAGGGAAAAAAGAGGAAGACCCTCAATGAGATGGACCCTCAGTGAGACGGACCCTCAATGAGATGGACCCTCACTTAGATTAAACTGAAAGCTGAATCTGTGGTCATGGTTAAGTGTATAGCAGAGAACGACTGGTCAACAAGCCTCAGGGAGCTGGACCGACACAGTGGCTGGAATAATAGGCTCACACACGGTACTAACTCAGGATGCCAGAGGATGGGCAGTGCTTCCTTCTCCTGTACACAGGGCCATTTTGGGTCAGAACCAACAAATGGCCCCCTAACTACAGCATAACAACTTGTGCAAGAGGAACAGGATTAGAGGTTTTTATCTTCCCTATCTCCGACCAGAATTTAAGCCCAGTTTAAACGCAGATTCTCATCATTGTAGAAATCCACCAAGATAAGTAAGGAGAACACAGATGTACTAGATTTAGTCCCTGCTCTAAGTCTTCAGTAAACTTAATGACTGGAACTAATGAAGAGGGAAAGGGTGTCCATGCTCTTACTCAGCATTTCAAGGACGAGTATAATATTAAATGTATTTTGACAAAATCTGAGACAAACACACTAGACTTTATGTATATCTAATTTGTCAGCTTGGTCATCACCACAAATTTTTATAGGGTTGGGAGATGGTGAACAAAGTGGAGGGAAGTTTGAAAGTCAACAATGGATTAAACTGAAAGCTGAAACTGTGGTCATGGTTAAGTGTATAGTGGACAATGTCTGGTCAAAAAGTTTGAGGCCTTGATCAGGCAATTTGGGTTTTGGTTTAAGAGGCAAAAGACTGGGAAGAAAACTTTGAAATATTAGCAGTGGTTGATCTTCTACAATGAATGAGTTTTTATATTTTTCATTAAATATCACATTTTATTTTTGTGATTTATTTTTTAAAAGATGCTTTAAAAAAACCCTCATACTTAAATGATTAATTAAGCAGGATGAAAATGTACTTTCTTGTCCATACTGGGACATTATAAAGAGGAAAAGAGGACAGTATTAATAATTATGCTAAGATAGCAAACATAAACAGAGACTATCCTGGTTCAGAGATTAGGTGGAGCTCCCCAATTAAAACAAGCTTGGAAGGAGGAGTGGCATCCACTTCCATAATAAGCTTGCCTCCAGAAACCCTATGAACCTGGAGAGAGCATGAACGACACCCAAGTGTCGAGGACTCTCCTTCATAGGGTCTCTATGAGTTGCCTGCGACTCGATGGCACTTAACAACAACAATCCTGGTTCAACCAGGACATGGCAACTCTACCTACAATCTAACTTCTTCTATGTGTGTTAACACTTTGGCTTAATAGGTAAAATGTGAAAAATCCGTAACACTTGTAGAGACCTACATACTACAGTTTAGATTCTATTTGAGTAAAGGAATTTTTTAGCAGCGTACCATTTTAAAATATATCTAATTGGAAAAAAAAAACTATTTGTTTATTTTCAAAAGGACAGTTTCTCTTTGTTTAAGCTAATCAGAGGAAATGAGACAATGCCTAAGTAAATTACATCATTAGCAAAGCAATGGGGAATAAAAACATTTTTTACAAAAAATCTCACATGGAGTAATTGAAATATTAAGTGCATGTAAGTGTGTGTATTTGTGTAATACATATTTATACCATAATTGAGCTTAGCCCAATCTAGAATACAAAAGTCAAGAAGCAAAACAACAAAGAAACAGTATCTGTTCCCAGGGCACAGAAATTCTATTCTGTAGGAGAGCTGGCGAAGGTGGAAAGTCAGCAAGGAACGGGCGGCAGCTCCTCAGTGCCCACGGGTGATTTCAAATGGGTCTATCTGGCCCCAAAGTACCATCGTTCACAATAAGGATAAACAGCTGCTTTTTTTGGTTAAACACTGTTTTTATATGTAAGCACTGCTAATCTTGGAATTATTCTGGGACTAGTTTTTCCATTTGTTACAAAAAAAGAAGAAATTTAGTAAAGCGAATCTCCACACAGAAGAGACGCTGTTTGGAAGCCTGAATGGCCCTCAGCAGGCCCACTTCTTCTTTTCCTTTGGTTCCTTTCCAGACACGCTGATCTTGCAGTCAACCTCAACTATAAAAGAAATGAGACACTAAATTTAATTCACAAGAAGGGAAGTCCTCCTATCTCAGGTGGGTTCCAGAAAAGACACTGATGAGTTTGGCTCCAGAAGAAATCTCTACTGACAAGTCTCAGAGCAGTTCCAGGGACCCATTCCAGCAGAGATCTTTCGGTTAAAAGTGAAGAAGGGCAGAAGACAAAGTTTTCTATCTGCTTCCAAAGATACAGCCCGGGAAATGATGAATTTACCCTTCAGTACATAATCTGTCGTGGCTTCAGCAGCCTGACAGGAAAAAGCGAGGACACAGCATGAAGCTGAGGAGCTGCACTGACCCCTAGGATTCCCCACGGACAAAAGGCAGGGTTGGCGTCATTGTTGAAAATGGAAATTACGAGGCAGAAGCAATTGGAACATTTTTGGTAGGTGGTGGGAAAATCCTTGAAATTAAAGAAAGATTCAAGAAAGATCAATTCCCTTTGCTTCAAATACTTCAAATTGTTTTTTAACGAGGAGCAACTCCTCAATGACTGAGGAAACGATATTGCTTCTGGCGGTTCAGAGTCTAGGTAAAAATACACTTTAAAACAAAAATAACTCAACAGTACTTTAGATAAAGTTTCGAGTAAAATAATCTTCTTGTATTTTACATTTATGTTCTTCCCAACTCTAAGCTACTGTCATTTTCCCACTACATAGGTCACCAAAAAAATGAAATCAAATTAAACACCAAAGGAACTATATAACAAACAGCAGATTTGGCTGCATTTTGAATAGCTGCCACTTTAAAAATACTTACCAAGTACTGAAGAAAGTTCTGTTTAGGCTTATTAACCATTTTTGTTTTAATGGAAAGCTGCAAGTTTAGGATTATTTCTTTAAGAGTTAATAAATAACTACTAAGGCTCTAATGAAACATTTTGGTGTTGATATCTTCTATTAAAAAAGGGAATAATTATCAGGAGCAACAGTACATCCTATTAGGAAAGCAGTGGCGAGGGCCACATCAATCCCTGTAGATACAGGATATCAATTCTCAAAATAAGGTGATTCTGGAGTAGGAAACTGAAGAGAGGGAAATATGAAGTCATTTATTACTCTCACTTAGCTCTGCTCAAGCGCCCAAATGACATTCTTGGGAGATTTCACCACAGCCAAGAACAACATTTCACAGTTCATCAGAGACGATCAAATGGGAAGGAACTGAAAATTACTTCAACTTTAATGTTTAAGTAGAATAGACCTTAACCAGGTAAACAGTCATGCTTAGACACAGTTTGACTGTTTCTGTGCAGGGTTATTTCACTTATTGAGGAGAAAGAATTCTTTCAAACACAGTGACCCAAAAGCCAGCTCATCAAATATTTTTCACAGCACCATCTCCTTCTTTCCAAAAACAATCTACTTTAACACATGAAAGTTCTAAATCAGAGACAGAAAATTTAAAATAAGAAAATAACAAAAATAAAGGGAAAGGAATTGTAATTAAAAATGTCAGTCACTCTATAGAGCACCTTGAGAAGAGGATACAAACTGGACAATGTTACTTTCATGCTTATTAAATAAGAGAAACTCAACATCCTAAAGCTTTTCTATCTGGGTCTAACTTTATGGGTTGAATTCCTGGGTCACATTCACTGTTTAAGCCCAAGTAAAATTTATATCAAAGGGAAAGTGGCCAGAATAACCCAACTATTAAATTTGTTCTGAGGATGCCATTTTGAAATGGATTTTAAAATTATGAATGTCCTGACAGAATCTAGAATTTTCCTCCCCCGAGTCTTTTATAATTTTATTTAAAACTAGAAAACTTAGGCTAAATTTAGGTCTTGATAAAGGCAATGAAAACTGGAACCTTAGAGTGTTATTATCTCTTGTTAGAATTAAGCTATTCTTATGGCTGGGATAAAACATTTTAGTGCAAATTCACTCTAAAAAGAAAGGGGAGAATGACAATGAGAACTACATCAGCACACACACTATCTCAGCACAGGTGGGGCCACAGACACAACATAAATGTGTCACCAGTTCTCAAATTGTGAGGACTTTGGAGCGGGAAAAGAAGAAAGGCAAATATGAACCCATTTAGGAGTTTTACTCAAAGTTCTTGAATGACCTTCTGAGGAGGTGTAATCACAGCCAAGAGCTGTTGTCACACTTTAGCATAGATGATCAAATGAAAATTAAAGAATTTATCTCCTATATCCTACCTTCTTTGCTGTTATATATTCTCTCTCAAAAGTTCTTTTGCTCCTACCCTCCCATATATTTAAGTATCTGGGTAAAATTTGGTCATGGATATTAGACACAATCTAATCCAAATTAGAGTTTTTCTCAAGGCTCAAAAAATCAGCTTATATTTTCTGAATATTAACTCCTTAAAATATAACGTAATAAAATGAAGCACAACGGATATGGAAACGGAGCTTACCTTAGAGCCACGTTCATTAAAGATTATTTCTACATCTAGGATTTTGCCAAATTGCTGCAGAGATGAAATAGAAACATTTGCTTATGGTCAATATGCTTTTTAAGGCATTTCTTTTTCCTCTCCTTTAAATTTATACAAGTAAACCATCACATTTACACAAAAAGGGAAGACTTATTTCCCCAAAGCCTTTCACTTTAAAAATCTCAATAATACTGAGTTGAGATGGACATATAAAACAGAATACTGAAGCACTATTTACTTTTACAGAAATTACATTTTTCATAACACTCTGAAAGGATTACTATTCTGATTTTTACAGAAATAAAATTTAAGTTCTAAGAGTTAAAAGATAACACAAAATAACATGATCCTAGCTCTTTGATGCTCAAATCCACACAGTTTCCACTTCAAAACCTATATTATCAACAGTGCTTATCTTCTTAAGACACTGCAAAAGGTGGAGGCCAGAAGTGAACAGTGCAGCCCTGAACCTTCAGTTCCTCTGGCTGAGGACGCTAAGGCACAGTATTGCTCTGGGCTTATACAGAAGGCAAAGGAACAACTAGGAACATGACAGGATGAACTCACAGTGGCTGCCAAATTCTTGGTGCACTAAAATCATGTGCGGAATCTTGTAAGAACACCCAGGTCATTCCTCAGACCTGCGATGTACAAATGTTGGGTGTGGGACACAGCATCAATATTTTTAAGCTCCCAAGGTGATTTTCAAGCCTCAAAAAAATCATTAGTCATTTTTTTTTTTTTTAAATCTGTACTGGTATTTGTTCTTTTAGGTGAAACTAAACATATTATCATTACATTTGCTAAGTTTGGTGTGACTATATGACAACCAAGCCATCCTGGTTTGTCAGGGACTTTCCTTACTTTTAGCACTAAAAGTCCCACATCCTAAGAAACTGTTTTGTCCAGGGAGACAGGACGCATGGTCACCTGATTGATGTGTGTGAGAACCTCAAAGGCTAATGTACAGAGTAGGACTGGGGACAGAAAAAGGTTTCTAAAGACCAAGGAATACTGGCAGACTTCCCAATCGCTCTCAATCTGTGTATACAGTTTTATCCTAGGGAACTACTGGTTTACAATACTGTTGATATATTTATTACATTTTATTTCAATTGTAAAATCCGTAAGACTTCAGAAACTTACCCCAAACATCTGTCGGAGGTCAGGGTCCCGGAAGCGGAAAGGAATATTAGAGACATGCAGTCGTTTGGGGGTAGATTTACTCTCTGAATTTTCACTACTTTGTGTCTGTGACTGCTGGCTGTCTGTCTGTGCTCCCCCTTCTGTCTGCTAAGGAAAAAAGAAAAAGAACAGTGAATTAAAAAGAAGCACAATTACTACACATGAATTACATACAATGATTAAAATCCTCACTTCAATAATTTCTTAACTTATCTTCATATATATATATACATATATATACACA